ATGATGATGATGATGGTGGTGATGATGATGACGATGACGATGACGATGACGATGACGATGACGATGATGATGGTGATGGTGATGATGATGATGATGATGATGGTGGTGGTGGTGGTGGTGGTTGTGGTGGTGGTGGTGGTGATGATGATGATGATGATGATGATGATGATCTGATGATGATGATGATGATGATGATGATGATGACCATGGCTCAAGGCTCAAGAGTCAAGCAAGCCAGGTACGCCCGAGCCATATCTTTCACTCCTCCCACCTTGTCGCGACTGCCCCCAGCCGTGCGCAACAGCCCCCCGTTTTCTCGACTGCGGGTATACCGAGAGCTTTCCCGTTCCTCCTCTCGACATGCCATGGCGGACTGCCATGGCGGACATGGCTGCACCAGCGGCGGCAGGCCCAGTTGTCCCAGCCCCAGCTGACGCGGCGGAGAACGTGCCCATGTGCGACAACGCTGGGGAGACGAGCCTCATCCAGGCTGCTGGCGCGTTGCAGCTGGGCGGTATCCCCGCTCCACCGGGGCTTCCGCCAGCAGCTGCCAGAGCTTCCCCCGCCGGTATTGCTTCCGATGGTGCCGCCCTGCCCGCCGCGCTGCCATCCGCAGGCGCCAGCAGCGCAGGTATCGACATCTCGGCGTTGCACGCGTTCCTGGAGGACGTGCTAGCCCGATGTCAGGCAGGCGGCCGGGAGGCCAGATATCTGGACCGATTTCACGCGTGCGGCCGCCCTGCCTGGCGCCCTGGCCCTGCAGCTGGTCCTATGCCTCAACCATCTTGAGTTCGCCGTGGCCTTCGTAGCGGGCTGCTCAGTGATTAGCTGGATCTGCCGCCAGCTCGGCGACGTGCCCTTGCGCAGCGCCTGGTACGCGAGCAGTCGCAAGGTAACTCCAGTCGGCCCGTGTGGGGAGCTGCTCAGCCGACCTCCGCCTCCGCCCCACCTGCACCGCCAGCCACTGCAGCTGAGGCTAACCCCGCCGTGCCCGTTCGTCACGTGGTCAGGGCTGACGAATCCACCGCAGCCAAGGACACGCGCCCACCCCTCTCACGTCGCTCCCAAGCTGCCATCGGGGCTCGGGGTGGACCCCTGGCCCATCCTGGGCGGAGTCTGGGCGCACCCCCAGACGAGGTCTGCACCTTCCCGCTGGCGGAGGTCGGCAGGACCCGAAGCCCCGCAGAGCCAGCTGGCGGCCCGGTCCCCGCTCCCCGCTGGCCCGCCCCCTCGTCGCCCACGCCCAGGGGAACTCCAGCGAGCGGCCGCGGGCGGAGAGCACCCGGGATCCCACACCCCCATCGGGCCAGCTCTACGCGAGGCTCTTGGGCGAGGACCCGGGAGATCGTGTGCCCCTCCCGGCACCCGCCGGGCGTCCCCCCCGCGCGGCGGGGTGGACGCTTCGCCTGGCCTGGCCTCCCCGCCACGGGGGGCGGCCGCGCGGAGCTGCGAGCCCCCGTCCCGGCCCTGCCGCTCCCTCCGAGTCCGCACCGGCGGCCCCTGCGTCCAAGGCCAGTGGTCGGGTGTTGCTAGAGGTGCCCCTGGCCCAAGGTGCCCCCAGGATTTCCAGGGAGGCCTCCACGACCTCCAGAGCACCCCTCACGAGGCCCAGGGGGCCCCATGGGGCTCCAAACTTCAGGCGCTCGCAAGCGGATTTCCGCCGCCGAACGAGGCGGCACCGGCCGCATTTTGGGGAGGGCACCTCCCCCGATCCATGGACTTGGCGACCGCGCGCCAAATCCACGGATCGCTAATCCGTGCCTGCGCGCCCCCGAAACACGGAGCGACAAGCTGGGGACACCCTGCGCCAGGGGCACTTCCAGCAGCACCCGACGAGGGGGCCCCTCCGCCCTGCCACACCGGTCGGTGCCAGGCCAGGCCTCCTCCAGCAGCCGAAGCCAGGCAGGGGGCAGAGGGCGGCTCCTCCGCGGTTTGTGAGAGCCCCCCCAAAGCC